ATATTACATGGGGACAAGAGGGCACATTATGGGGTACAGCAGGGGATATTACATGGGGCAAAAGGGCACATTATGGGGCACACAGTAGGGTACATTATGGGGCACACAGTACGGCACATGTTAAGGAACAGCAGGGCACATTATGAGACATAGCAGGACACATCACATGGGGTAGGAGTGCACATTATGGGGCACAGGAAGGCATATTATAGGGCACACAGCAGAGCACATCATGGTGCACACAGCAGGGTGCATTACGGCCACACAGCAGGGTGCATCAGTGTGGCACAGCAGGGCATATTACATGGGGGTAGGAGGGCACATTATCGGTCACATCAGGGATTATTATAGGGCACACAGCAGGGCACATTATGAGGCACACAGCAGGGCACAGGGCACATCATGGGCACACAACAGGGCACAGGACACACAGTAGAGCACATCATGGGGCACACTGCAGGGCACGAGGTACACTGTAGAACACATCACAGGACACACAGCAGGGCAGGGGGCACACAGCAGGGCATGGGGCACATCACAGGGTACACAGCAGGGCACATCACAGGGTACACAGCAGGGCACATCACAGGGCACAGAGCATATCACGGTACACACAGCAGGGCACAGAACACATAGCAGGGCACATTACAGGACACACAGCAGGGCTAAGGGCACATCATGGGACACACAGCAAAGCACAGGGCACATCATGGGGCACATAATGGGGCACATTGTAGTGCATGGGGCACATAGCAGGGTACATTGCTGTAGTTGCAGTTTCTTCCACATGTAGAGTAGCGCAGGAAGTGGTTTAATGGAACCGCGCTCCTCCCTGCCAACCTCACCTTCCCTCCAGGGGAGTTAGAGTCCTGAACAGAGGTCTGTTGTGTGAGATTTCTGTACAGTACAGACAAGATTTATTGGGAAATTGAGGTATAGAATATAACGTGCAGGTATATCAAACAAATAAAAAAAATAAAGTAAATTACTGCATGTTTAAGATGTTTTCTAGAGTCTCTCTGGCATGTTTTGAGTATTGCTGGTCAAGTAGTTGGACTAATTAATATTTTTTTGTTACTCTAGTGTTGTCAGAGTCATTTTGTTTATGGAGTAGATCCAAATTTCTGACATTTAAAACAGATTTGAAATCTCAAAAGATCTTTCATTTTTCAGCAGGGCACTGTGGAGAGAAAAATGCTACTTAAGCCTGGTACACATGGGCTGAATATTGGGTGTTCAACAGAAACTGGCTGACATGTGGCCCATGTGTACAGCAGCCTATTTGACAGAAGCTGACTGAACATCCTGCTTTTGTACAATGGGCAGGCTGGAAAAACATCTGCTGACTGGCATCTGCATTGGCTGCATGCACTGGCAGTCCCCCTGTTAGAACACAATAGCTCAGTGGGGAGATCACTGTACTAACATTGCATACTTACTTAGTACAGCGAGCTCCTCAGGTTGTGTGTGTACCAGGCAAGAGGCAATACAGTCTCCAATGAATTTGGGTGTGTCGTAGAATTTTTGATCTGCTGTAAAGTTGATATAGAAGCTTTAATGTCCTAAAGGCAAAGAGGCAGTGGCATATCTTCAATTTGTGCAGTGCACATGGGTCCCAAGTTGGGTGGGGCCAACTGTGCTCTCACACATCGCACAAGTGTTGGAAAATACCATTCAGTATCCTTTTCTGTGATGTACTGCAGCTGTCTGTGACAACCTTGTCACAGCCAGCTGCAGCTGTTTAAAAAAAGACTGAATGTCCAATGTCAGCGCACCAGAGGTGCAGAGGTCTTACATAGTTACATAGTTAGTCTGGCTGAAAAAAGACAATAGTCCATCCAGTTCAACCATAGAAAAAAAAAGTTATAATCCCATACCCACAGTTGATCCAGAGGAAGGCAAAAAAAAACCAGCAAAGCTCAATTTGCTCCTGCAGGGAAAAAAAATCTCTTCCTGATCCCCCGAGAGGCAATTGGATAATCCCTGGATCAACTTTACCTATAAATGTTAGTATCCAGTTATATTCTGTGTATCCAAGAAAGAATCCAGGCCTAGTAATCCGTGTGTAGTAAATGATGTAGAGCTCTGAGGTCAGTAGTGACGCAGAGTGCTGAGGTCAGTAGTGAGTGATGGAATGCTAAGTGGTCAGTGGTAAATGGTGCAGCATTCATAGATCAGTAATAAGTGTTACATCATTCAAAGGCCATTAGTAAGAGACATACAGCTCAGAGGTCTTTAATAAGTGAAGCAGTGTTAGGCCTCCGGGTATGACCAGAGGTGTGTGTGGACTGACACAGGGAAACGCAGGCTTCAGATATGGTATAAACAATATAATTTATTAAGACTAACAATACAAAACGCAGTGCAAAACTAAACATAAACACAGTGCAAACAAACCAAACCACCCACCGATAACAATACATACAATACAAAGAGTAGTCAGGCAGGCCGGGTCAGTAGCAAACGGGCAAACGGAGTACCAGGAACAGGCGGGAGAGTGGTCGGGGTCACAAGCTAGGTTCAGTAACTCACGGGCAGTGCGGTACAGAGGGTCGGGCAGAGAATGGTCAGGGTCACAAGCCAGGGATCAAGCAGGAGAAGTCAGCAGAGGTCAGGATCAGGCAGGGTCGGCAACAAGTCAGACAGGAACAGGAATACAGGATACAAGGTACAGGGGCCCATGAAAAAACACACACCAAGGCACTGACTGTGAGTCTGACCATTCCTTAAATACAACCCCTGCAATCAGCTTCAGGTGTTTGGCTGATTGCAGGGGTGAGTCTCTGATTGCTGAGAGCACCCGCTGGCCAGCCCTGGTACTGCAGCCCACAAGGCAGGTGAGTCCCACCATTATTGGCAAGTCCATTCCTGACAAGCAGAGGTCAGTAGTAAGGGATGTAGACTTCAGAGGTCAGTAGTGAGGCAGAGGTCAGTATTAAGTGAAACAGAATTCAGAAGTCAGTAGTAAGTGATGCAGAGTTCAGAGGTCACGAGTTCAGAGGTCACTAGTGATGCAGAGGTCATTACTAAGCAACACAGAGTTCAGAGGTTAGTAGTAAGTGAAGCAGAGTTAGGGTCAGTAGAGAATAACACAAAAGGTCAAGGGTCAGTAGTAAGTCACTTACTACTGACCCCTGAACAGATGCCGCAAAGTCTACTGTTGGACCCTGACCCCTCTAATGTACCTCCAAAGATACTGCACATTCCCTATTTAACACTGTCTCATTATACTGTGTTTAACCACACCTTTTTAGGTCATGCCCACTAGGAAGCACAGTTAGAAACCAGCCCACACTTTTTTTAGTGGCTTGCTGCGAGCACTACATTTTCTTGGGGAATGATCGGACCCTATTTTTCATCCAATGCTTAATATAGATAGAGTTTTAAAGTAAAGGTGAGATATCAGTATGTAGTCTATATTACTATGGATACCCTGAAGTGAAAAGAAAAATTTAACATTTTTCTCCTTGAGGTCAAATGCCCTCCACAGGTTTTTCAGTCTTCAGGGCCATGTCACACAGGATATTGATATAGTGATAATAACCTCTTCTTGACTGCGCTATAGCCGAATGATGGCTTCAGCATGGCCGTACAGTTCTGGGAGGGTGTCATATGACATCCTCCCTGAATGTACCACCTGCGCACCCCAAGCAGCTTGCACCCAGCACTCTCTGTGATCACTGCGTCCTTTGGACACAGCTGATCACATGACATGGTAAAAGGCTGCGCTATAGCCGAATGATGGCTTCAGCATGGCCGTACAGTTCTGGGAGGGTGTCATATGACGTCCTCTCTAAATGTACCACCTGCGCACCCCAAGCAGCTTGCACCCCGCACTCTCTGTGATCACTGCGTCCTTTGGACACAGCTGATCACATGACATGGTAAAAGGCCTATCACAGCGGCCTTTTACCATGTGGTCAGCTATGTCCAATAATAAAAAGCATACATCATGAAAACCCGTGGTGACCCGTAAAAACAGGTAATAGTGAACCACTTTGTGTATTCTTACTAAAAAGGGTCAATGACTTCTTGTCCTGCGTTCCTGTGGGTAGGACAGCCCACAGAACATATGTTGCAGTGATCTGAACAGAGCCTTATAGGTTCCTCAAAACAAATAACCCGCATCAGTGTGAAAGGGGTCTTACCCATGGAGAGTCAGCCTGGGGCAGGGTCAAAAGAGGGTTAATTGTAGAGGGCAGGTACAGTACGTCCACTCCGGCCCAGCTTATTATTAACAGAAGAACTGAGAGTGTGGGGTCTGTTGGATGGTGAGAAAGAGGAGAGCTGCATGCAGGTTGGAAAGAATTGCTAGTCTGAGATTTACCTGGATGGTGAACCTACCTTTTTTTTTTTTTTTTAACAGAAACTGATTTATTGTGTTTCAAAAAACAATACAAAAACAGTTTGATGAGGAACCAATTAAGACTTAAACATAGTCTTCAGCACAGCAGCAATTACCATAATATACTTCCAAAAACTGCATTGAAAGAGGAGAAGCAGAGGGTAGAAAGCTTAGCCTACTTTATTGTTGGACTTTGAATACTGTGTATGCTAAAGCTAACCACTTGCCCTCCAGAGGATTTTTCCCCCTTCTTGAACAGGCCATTATTTGGGTTACGGCACCGCGTTATTTTAACTGACAATTGCGCGGCCATGCAACACTGCACCAAAATGAAACTTACGTCCTTTTTTTCCCCTCAAATTGAGCTTTCTTTTCGTGGTATTTGATCGCCTGTGCATTTTTAATTTTTTCCACTAAAAGCAAAAAAAGATCAACAATTCTGAGAAAAAAAAAACAATATTTTGGACTTTTTTTTGCTATTAAACTTGTCCAGTAAAAAAAATTTAGGCCAAAATATATTCTGCAACATGTCTTTGCTAAAAAAAAATCTCAATACGTGTAAATTAATTGGTTTACTTGAAAGTTATAGTGTTTACAAATGGCGGTATAGATACTGGTATTTTTTTTTTCACTAGTAATGGCAGCAATCAGCGACTTTTAGCGAGTTTGCAGGACATTCTGACCCTGGGGGGGAACTAACTTGGTGTCACTGACATCCCCAGTGACACCAATACAGTGATTAGTGCTAAAAAAAAAAAAGCACAGACACTGTACTAATGGCACTGGGCAAGAATGGGTTAATGTGAGGGGGGATCAAAGGGTTAATTATGTGCTGGGAGTATTTTACTAGGGGGCGGGGGGTGTGCTTTACTGTAAGGACACTGCTTGGGATGGCTGTGCTGTGCACATCCATCCCGAGCAGTGTGCTCGAGCTGACAGGAAGGAAGACTGTTTTCAAACAAAACAGTCTTCCTCCCTGACGGTGATTGTCGGTAATCACCGGGCGCCGGTGCGTAATTACTTGACATCCACGGTCGCAAATGGCGGCACAGGTAGGACTCACACATGCCCCCTACCGGAAATGCAAAATCACGTATATATATATATGTGATTTTGCGCACAGGTGCTGCCCTGTAACAGTATATCTGCTATAGGGCGGTCCTAAAAACTGCTAAGCAGGCTTGGACTTATGTATTAGGACTGTGGATTGCACTGATAGGAAGCTACACCTGTCTGGTTTGAGCCGAATCTGAAGACAAAGCCTGTTTTTTTGTTTGCTAACAAATAATAATACAGATTTTAGGTTCCCATAACTTCCTGAAAAAAAGCCTGTTTTCCCCTTCGGACCCTTACATATATACAGTATTATCCACACAGTATTTTATGTAAAATTTCATATATTGCACAGTAGGAACAAGTAACATTAAATGAACCATCAAACTTTATATATTCTCCAAGCAGGAACATTATTATATTTTACAGTCCATAGCATGTCTTAGTGAGGCGATGCTGCTTTAACTCGCCCTGTGCCTCATGAATAGAGATCATATTTCCTCTATTTCTTTGTCCATGTGCTCTCCTAGAGAGCTAAGTCAATACCTTGTGAGAGGTAGGTCACACTTCATGACCTCATCTTGAAGTGGTAGCTCAGTAGATATGCTTGGTAAATAAACTGGAAGAATAATTATCACATCACTACACACTTTTATTCTCTGATGGACTGTAAACTATTTTACCTTCTGTATTACTCTACCCTAACAGACCCTGATACAGGGTTGCTCAACCTTTTGAAGAGCTGCAATGGCTACTTGGAGCAAGGGGCTGAGTCACTATTGCAACCCATGATGTTACACCAGTGGTTGAGGGGTGTGGTGAAAACAGGTCTCAACTATGGGGTTTTACTGCCTCCCACACCACAAATGTAAATGAGCCCTTACTGATCTGGGCCCCCTATAAGGCTGCTTTCACACTGATGTAATGCAGGTTACCCACACTGAGGATGCAGCACAGTGCACCTGCGGATTAGCTGTGGTTTAGCTGCACTTTGCTATAAATTCTATTATATCTTGCAGTCAGGATTTTTTGTGCGCTTTCAGAAAGCATGACAAACCTGCAGGATTTATTAGAAGTCTATTGCCCAGTGCAGCTAACCTACAGGAAATCCGCAGTGTAAAAGCAGTGTAAAAGCAACCTAATTACCCTTTTATAAAAAAACTGCTAATAACACACTTTTTACTGCGCTGTAATAATGGAAAACTATGTCATGTTTAATACACAATATGCCCATTGCTAAAATGTGATGTTTTATAAACTGACTTTTTTGTCTTTCAGTTTTTGCTGGCTTTGTTGACTATTAGAAAGGTTCCTGTCCCAGGCAGAGTGATACCATATGCACTTCACCTGGGACAGGAGCTGGCACTATGGAGGAAGCTTATGCGGCTCCTACTCCCTCCACAGCCAGCCACTTGTTTGTTTCCATCGGTGTCGGCTAAATCACTATGATGCTCTAGGACAGGGGTGTCAAACTGGCGGCCCTCCAGCTGTTGTGAAACTACAAGTCCCATCATGCCTCTACCTTTGGGAGTCAAGCTTGTAACTGTCAGTCTTGCAATGCCTTATGGGACTTGTAGTTTGGCAACAGCTGGAGGGCCGCCAGTTTAACACATTTGCTCTAGGGTGTCAACACTCCAATGCATTCTGCCTGTAAAATTGTAGCTAATTTTTCACAGTGTTTACAAGTACTAGTTGTAAACCATCTGGGTTTGAAATTACAGCACAGGATGTTTGCCCACTTCTTAGTTTGGTTCAATAGATCAATTACTTGCCCTTACCCAGCCAGTGGAACATTGCCTCTGTCGTTGCCACTGCCATCTGTCAGTGAGAAGTCTGTTAGTGTATAAGGGAAGATGCAGAAGGTGGAAATGTTTACAGTCTATTAGGATATACTGTAAGAGAGGCTACAGAAGGTAGAAGAGCTCAAAACCTTATAAGGAAGAATTTCGGCAAAGTTTCTCTAAAGGTGAAATCAGTTTTGCTGAGTGTAAAATACCAGAGGCTTAAAGGCTAAATTCACCTTTTGGGACATGTAACATGTTCCCGCTCCAGCAGCCTCTCCTCGGCCACGGCATTCATTCAGAGTTCTGTTAATAAATTAACTACTAGTACCAACAGCCTCTCCAGCTGACAGCCTGTAGTTCTCAATGAACTACCAGGGCACTAGTGAGCCTCCTAGTAGTTCATTGACTCTTCCTGTCATTCAGTAACTGCCTGCCCATAAAAAATAAATAAATAAATGTAATTTTTTCTTACCTATAAAAAATGTGCATCTATATAATATATATATATATATATATATATATATATATATAAAGGTTAACTTTGCCTTTAAAATAGACTCAACATAACACATCTATACTAATAATTATTTTACAGATCCAAAACCAAAAAAGGATGTAAAGGTTTTTTTCTTGACCTTCTTCTGTTTATTCTACGTCATACTTAGCCCACATCCTCTCCACCATTTTACCCTCATCATCTAATAGTGAATCAGACACGTCTTAAGCCGAAGTTGTGGGTATTCTACTTACGAAACTCAGATGTGGGTGATATATATGACCACAGTTAGCCATTTTCAGTATTCAGTGAGGAACTGATCTATTCTGAGGCTTTTAGCATATACAGATATGCATTAGAGCCTAGCTATAAAACATCTAATATTTTTTGTATGTGTTTCGATTGTTTTCACCAAAGTTGTTTCACCTGAAGTAAATTGGGCAGGCATTTAGTTTATGGTTTAATAACTGTACTGCCTTGTTTTTAATGACACGTTTTGCATATATACATAGTTATTCTTCACTAACAGAATACAATACCCTTTTTGATTCTGCACATAGAGTTTTAGTTGTTTATCAGTCAGGAGTCTGGCAACAGGCATTGTTTTTGTCCAGCACAGATACTGTCACTGTCTTCAGAAGCAAGCCTTATAAATATGATCACAATGCTTGTACTAAACCACTGCTATCACTGCCATCAACTTTTGTTAGAGTTGTGAGGCTGACATCCCAAATGGGAGTGCATGCTAATAGAAGTCATTCCTATTTAAATTAAAAACATGTTAAAGATTTATTAGGCTTCTTGCACACTTGGGCTCTTCTAAACTATTTTCTCCTGGCAGGAGAAAGGAGAAAAGCAGCTGCAAGAATGTTCCTAAGCCACATTTTTTTTTTTCGAATGCGTTTAGGCATTTATTTCATTGGCCAGAATATTAATTTATTCTAGCTATTGAAATTTAAAAATCACTCAAGCAGTAAACATGCCTAGTGTTACAGCGTTTAGGTACGCCAGGTGTTTTTTTCAGCCAAAACGATTCTCTCTTGAATGCGAAAGTGATGGGTTTTTCTTTGTGCCTGTAAACGTCCCTGCCTCTAAACTCCTGCCAATGCCTATAGTGTGCATGGACATGTAGGCTAACATGGAGGCGAGTTTAGAGTTAGAGAAAAAAAAATCTCAAACTCCTGTAAAAGCAGCATTTTTGAGCTCGAGTGTGCATGAGGCCTAAACTTCTCCAGGACTCCACCTGCTGCTCTTTCTTATGTGGCTACAGCTGAAAAATACCCAAGTATGGGATTTATTTGATTTCCTTCCATGTTCCAACTATTGTTCAAATGATGGAGGGGGTTATATAATTTCTCCCTCTGGGCTTCTTTCCCTGTTGACATTAGGTACTTTGGTGGAGGCTACAACCCTGGATGATGCAGCAGGTGAGCGTTGTAGAGGGGAGTGTAAGGAGTCAGTGGGAGGTTCAGCTATACAGGCACTGTCAATATGGCCTGAAGATGACAGTATCTTTTTCAGCTTGTTACTTCATTTACATTATGATTGTACAATTTCCTTTACAACTATGTTTGCTCCTTCAGTTTGTAATTAGAGAGTTTGAAGGTCCCCCAGTGATTGAAAAAGGTACTTTAGTGGCAACAGAAAGAGTACTGAGGTAAAATAACAAAGCTTTATTCTAGTACAATAAAATACTACAAATATATCAATTCCATAAAAATCACAACATAGTGGCTACTTCGATGCGAAAGAAGAAACTTTGACTGATGAAAAATGAACCTCCTCTTGTTCCACTGGACATTTATCTGTTGGAAATTAGATGTGTTTCAGATAATATTCTTTCCTCAGGGGTATATAGCAGAGGAAGACAACAACAAAAGAAGTTCTATAGCATAACAAATCACAATAAGAACACTGCAGTATCAAAATACATGGAATATATTGCATACAAAAGTATATACACAGGATACATACCATCCTAATTATATAGAAACATAACCGATGTAGCAGTTAGTAGTTAGGAGTTAAAATGTAATAGGAATCCTGCACTTTTGGGAAAAGTTGAAAATGTTCAATATAATGAACACTGGGAGAAAACAGGACTTTTTGTACTCGTTCATTAGTTCATTAGAGTATTCCTTGCCTCTGATGTTTGCTCCTTTGTATTTTGGCCTGTTGTCCCAGGGAAGCTGTTTTTTTATGTTGGGTAAGTAAACCAAAAGAGACAGAAATACTACAGAAAAACTTCTTTAACAGCTTCACAATACCCACAATTAATCTGTAATATATACAGTATCATATGTAGACATGTGCATTATGTAGCATAGCAACACATGTAAATACATTTCATATTTACCTAGGTATGTCAGAATAGAAATATAAAAGGGATGGATCTAAAAGCTAAGCATAATCAACATGAACATAGAACAACGAAGAATAGCATGTATTTGCAACACAAAGGTATAGAGGGTAGAACCAAAAAAGGTGTCAATGTAAAAGAGGCCTATATTATCAAGCAATTTATATGCTAAGTGATAACCATTCCATGCCACCATGTGACAACAGCTTTATGTCACTTCCCACACACCATGCTCCTGCAAGTGCCAACCGCTGGGCTTCCATTTCTGCCAACCACACATCAAAATCTTGTCAAACATAGAGGCGGGAGCTTTGGCCATTGCACATTATAGACAGTGTAACAAAATTAAGGAGCAACAAATGCAATACACAATAATAGGACTGGTTTTCAATGTCCTTTC